AAAATCGTATGCAGTGTGAATCCAGCATAAGCGACAAAGCGACCGCAGCTATAATGTGTGCGTGCGTGCGTGTGTTTTTCTGTTGGCTGCTGCATCATGTAACATGGTTTTTTTTAGCAATACACATCAATTTGTGATAAGTAATATATAACAATATAATATAATATTCTTATAAATCAATATAAAAATTAAATAAGTAATATTTTTAATATGTCTGTCTATAATTATTTGCAACGCTCTGAAAGTTTCCTAACCTTTTTTTAAGTAATAAAAGCAATAATGACACGGTTCAACTTTCCACCTTTTTCATACAATGCGAAGAGAAAAAGAGAAAACATGAGCCGAGATGCAAAAACTTCAATTAAAAATAAATAAGTCTTATAGTTCACGTATGTATACTATAGATTTTTAATAGCGGTAGTGAATTTTAGAACACAGCTAGTATATATTACAAACATGCATCGTATGTATGTATACATTGAACCTTCGCCAAAGATATATTTCTCAATTTTTTAGAAAATACACATACACCATTATTTCTGTGATACCACTATAAATTCCGAGTACGATGTATTTCGATTCTAATTTTCCTCCCGTTCGCGTTGAGTGAACAAGGTTCTGTATTGGTGCTGCCATTGTGAGAACAACAAGTCACGTGCACCAATCACGCGGAATCCCGAATGTCCAAACTCTTTACTTCTAGGGACTCTAGCGTACGCCACGTGCGCGTGCGTCTGCTGTCATCCTGTTTGAGTGTGATCGACTCTTCAGGGTTGTTCAGGGTGACATAGGCTGCGTTCAGCAGACTCAACAGTTTTGCAACTGTTTTATGATTATCTGCTGAGATAGGACCATTCTTCTAGATCTAAAAGTATGATCCAATTAGCGCGAAGGAAACTTACAACAGTTGCAAAACAAACGTTCTGCTGAACGCACCCATATATTATAACCAGCGCCTTAGGGTGAAATCACACGGTGCGGAAAAAGACTGCGGAATAGAGAATGCGTCATTGGGCTCATTCAGCGGACTCAACAGTTGAGTGAGCGCTCGCTGTTATTGGTGTATTCTTTTAGATCATCCAATCATAATTTTAGATCTAGAAGAATACGTCAATAGCAGCGAACGCTCACTCAACTGTTGAGTCCGCTGAATGCAGCCATTGAAGCAATCAATCAACGCTATTCAGCGCTATTCGGAATAGCTCTGATTGGTTGCTTCAATGACGCATTCTCTATTCCGCAGTCTTTTTCCGCACCGTGTGATTTCACCCTTATATTCCGTAAAATCTTACACTGGGTGTGTTCCGATATAGACTGCCAGTGCTGGCAGTACTGAAAAATCATTCCATTGTTAGTGCGCAGCGCATTGCGACAGCATCTAGTAATATCAATGACGTCATAAATGGTAGCCATATTGCCACTGCGACTACTGCACCTTTCGAGGTGAGACAGTACAGTAGAAATATGGCGTCGAACATGGCATTATCAACGCCAACGATATCAAGCATATCCACATCAGGGTACGTATTATGGAATTATTCGGAATTGATACCGATCAAAATTATTCAATTATTCTTCAATATTTCTATCGTATTTTCTAGAGAAAACGGGAAAATTACGATCGGAATTCATTCTGACATGTTCCATGATAAATACCCTGGTACTACTGAAAAAGTAAAAATATTAGATCCTGAATATAACATTACATATATTGAATTGATTAATTCTAATAACACTCATCTTCCTCAGATGAGGTATCACTGCTTTCGTTCAATATTTCTATTGCAATTATGCAAATTTGTAACTTAACCTGTTTATTTACTGCGTGCATCGCCATGTTGATAGCACTTAAAATTTGTTCCGATATACGCTGTTACAGCTATGCTGACAGTAATGCAGTAATTGTGGAACAGTTGTCGCAGTGTACTGTGATGACGTCACGTTTACTGCACTGCGACTTTCACCTTCGACTCTCACTCCTCCTCCCCTTGCAAAGGGGCTCACGATTCTCACCCTCGACTCTCATCTCACCCCCTTCCCCCCCAGCAAACAGTACAATTACGGAAGTTGGGCGCCCCTTTGCAGGGGGGGGGGGAGAGGTAAGAGTTGAGGGTGAAAGCCACCTAAACTTGTTGGAAGTCTTTCAGGGTCATAACCTTGACAACATATGTCAAGGTCGCGGTCGTCGGCACGGCGTCCCCTACAGTACACGACTATCAAACACATTTTAAATTAGGGAATTCTCGTGTTATATAGTTGAACTTTTTTTGTTAATAACTTTTTAACGAAGGACGACCGCTATTTAAAACCTGTTGGAAGTCACTCAGCCATGACTTTAACAACATACATCAAGATCAAGGCCATCGGCGCGGTGTCCGTTAATGTGTATAATTACCATAAAGTTTTGTGTAACTGTCCGGACATAGGTATTGTCCGATCCCAGTGACTAGACATGTATCTATGTCCGCATTTACATAACACTTTATTTATTTAAGTTAATATTAATCTCAAATACGTTTTTTTAAATGTAATATTGTAATTTAATTGTAATCTTTAAATGCAATTAAATTATAATACTGTAATAAAAAAAGCATTTGAGATTAATAATAATAAATTTTGTGTAAGGTACATGTCCGGACACTGAGATGTTTACCTTACATTTGTTCAAATGCGTATGTGTATGTAAATGTATCTGTAGTACAATTGCATATTCTCTTAAGTAGAAAGACTGTTCCTTCATTTTCCATCGTCTGAGATAAAAGTTGACGAACTTCGAATTAAGAGATAAAAAACAATTATCAAAACGATTGCAAAAATAAGAGAAAAAAGCGAGAATTATTACAGAAAGTAAAAAAACAGAAAGCAAAGAGCATAATGCGGTAGATTAGTCACAAGTCAAATATAAGTAAAGAGTGGCAGAATAAGTATAAACGAAACTTCTAGTAGACAAAAATTGAGACAACGAAATGTAAAAGAGTTTCATTGTCTCAATTTTCATCTCCTAGAAGTTTCATAGCTTCATTTACGTTTCTGTCACTTTCCCCTTACATTCGACTTCAATTTTTATTTTTCAGAGATACGATAAGTGTGACTTAAAAGCTGACGCCACCCCATCATCGCGAAGAGGTCTTGAAGAAACATGAGGATGTTGTAGTCGCTTGAGCATCGATCGATAGAACGCGCGATTGAAGTAATTCTCAGGGAATTGTCATTGACTGCTGAATACTTGCGCAGTCACTACACCGCTTTATAGTCCCAACTGTGTAAGTAGTTTTGGTGTCACGAGGCACGGCCTTTCGAATTATTCGACGGCAAGATAACAGTCATTCCTTGAGACAACCATGTAGAAATCCTCGTGATAAAT